ATAAATTTGTGTTTGATAATGTTAACAACCATTGATCCTTTGCTGTAAAGACCGCACATTCATCTCTCTTTTTAACAGATGGGTCATTCAGCCACCATTTCATAAATTCTCTGTTACACTTCTACCTGTCTGAGCTCAAACGGAAAAGAACAAGTGCTTTAAGTACTCTAAGAGAAGACCTCTCTAGGCTTACAGTTTCCAGACCTTGGACAGGTAATCAGCCAGTGGACAGAAACAGTCACATGGTGACCTCCTGCTCAGATGGGAATCCCATTCTTGTGCCAGATAGGCTCTTTGAACTCTGAAAGTTCCTGATTCTTCTCACTATTTAGAGGTTCAATGTGTGTAAACATCATCAAGAGAGCTTTGTTCTCATTGTTCTTTTACATACACAATACCTATATTTTGTTCTTGTTTATGAAACCTATTTCTGTTGCATGTTCTTACAACCACAATGAGGCCCTTTTCATTCTGAAGTATTATCTCAGTGCCATAGTGGGAGTAGATTCAACTGAAAACTGGGTTTATTGTAAACAATATAAACATGGGTTCCCAAAGTCTGGTTGTTAAGCTATCAGCACAAAGAAAAATATCCACATCGGGTTTATCATCAAAAGATAATAAGGGACCAAGGTGATGGAAAAAAAGTTAATTGCCAGTGGTTCCATTAAGAGGTGGTCTCTGAGGTCAATGTCAATAAGCATCTTCATCATTGTCTTTAATAAAGGTTAAAGTTTGCCAGTCCAGATGTGGGAACAAACAAAAGAAGGTATACCCTGGAACAATACTCTGCAGAGACAAGACAGCGCCAGAAAGACAAAGCCTGTTCAGCTGTTTCCTGACAGCCCTGCCCAGCACACTTCCACCTCAGGCCAATAACCGAGTTTCTAAAGAATAATTATATCAAGCGATGTCATGATGGATGGCCACTTTCCAATGGCTTCATGGCTTATCTTTTAGGACAGAGAGTTAGGGGAGATAGCAGGCTGTGAACTGTTGTCACAGTTAGATGGGGATGGGGGTGGCAGATGACAGGTCAATGTTTGCTGTTCTAACATAGGAGTGCAGGGCCTGAGTTCCACCCTCTAAAATTAACCCTGCATTGATGCCACTCCTTTAATAAAATAAATCTCAATATATGATCAACTTTATGTATGTATATAAATTTTATCCAATTGTTTTGTAACACCAGTTGACGTTCACAGCGCTTTACATATATTTACTAATTTAATTATTCTTGCAACCTGACATTGTAAGTAGTAACGTTTCCATTTTATAGGTGAGGAAACTGAGCACAGGAGGTGAAGTGACATGCACAGGTCACATGGTAGGCGAGTAAAGCCAGGACTCAAACCTGACCCCAGAGACTGCCCTTCACTACTCATAGTACTGCCTTTATGATGATTTAAAAATTATTATAATTTCTGGTTTTGGTCCTGGAAAAGGGAGGCTTGGACCATGGTTCCGCAGAGAACAAATCGGATTTGCATTCTTATAAAGTGAAGAGAACATCTTTCCAGAGATGGATTCCTTGATTCCAGAAAAAGCAAAGAACCCTGAGTGGCCAACTAGAGACATTTGTGGTTAATGGATACATTTACTACTTCCAGCTAACTTAGCAAAGTTCACCAGGCAGCCTTTGAAAGATACACAAAATACTGCTGGATCTTGCCAGAGGTGACTTTATCAGACAGCCAGTTGAGGCCTATAAAATGTTGTTAGCCGTTTCTTTCCTGTCAAGGAGGAAAATCAAGACAGCTACTTTTTTTTTTTTTTTTTTGCGGTACGCGGGCCTCTCACTGTTGTGGCCTCTCCTGTTGTGGAGCACAGGCTCCAGACGCAGGCTCAGTGACCATGGCTCACGGGCCCAGCCGCTCCGCGGCATGTGGGATCTTCCCGGATCGGGGCACGAACCCGCGTCCCCTGCATCGGCAGGCGGACTCTCAACCACTGTGCCACCAGGGAAGCCCCACAAGACTTTTTCATCTTGTTTTCCACGGAAATATTCATAGCACTCGTCATTACTTTTATAATTTGAGGGCAATGGTCAGAAGAATTAAAAGGTGAAAATAAAAGAAGGAGCTGCTGATGTGAGAGCCATAAATGTGCCTTTTATAAAGAGTTGGAACAGAAACAAACACACAACCTCTTGATCTGAGACAAATAAAAGAAAGTTGGTTATTCTTTCCATATTCTTATAGGGGTGGAAATAGTGTAATCATCTCTTGGAGACCACAGTGTTCATTGAAGCATCCCTGTAGATACAACATTATCTCAGGCGCTGTGGGTAGCTTCCAAGGAAAGGAGAAGACATGCTTTTAACCATTAGCATCTTCCAAGAAAATGTGTGTATATTTTTTTCTCATATATATATATACACACGTGTGTGTGTGTGTATGTGTGTGTGTCTAAGAAAGGAGCTATAGGGCCTGGGCCTATTCATTTAGGATTTCAATGCCCAATATGTGTAACCCTCACCAATTCAAATAGGTAGGTTATGCATGCTCCCTGTAAATAGAGTGTCTGTCAATCTTTGTGTAGCCAAGCAAGTACAAACTAAGACATTCTCTGGATGAAAGGAGTTGGAACTACTGTTATAGGTCACAGGAGTAACTCAAGTTCAATGTTCACAATCCCCCTGTAAGGGAACCATTGAATACATAAAGTATTTAATACAAAGTGGCTGTTGAGGATAGAAAGCCCAGAGATAAACCCACGCACCTATGGTCACCTAATCCATGACAAAGGAGGCAAGAATATACGATGGAGAAAAGACAGTCTCTTCAATAAGTGGTGCTGGGAAAACTGGGCAGCTACATGTAAAAGAATGAAATTAGAACACTCCCTAACACCATACACAAAAATAAACTCAAAGTGGATTAGAGACCTTAATGTAAGACTGGACGCTATAAAACTCTTAAAGGAAAACACAGGCAGAACATTTTCTGACATAAATCGCAGCAAGATCTTTTTTGATCCACCTCTGAGGGTAACGAAAATAAAAACAAAAATAAACAAATAGGACCTAATTAAACTTAAAAGCTGTTGCACAGCAAAGGACACCGTCAACAAAATGAAAAGAAAATCTACAGAATGGGAGAAAATATTTGCAAACGAAGCAACCGACAAGGCATTAATCTCCAAAATATACAAATAGCTCATGCAGCTCAATATCAAAAAAAAGAAAAACAGCCCAATCAAAAAATGGGTAGAAGACCTAAATAGACATCTCTCCAAAGAAGACATACAGATGTCCAAGAGGCACATGAAAAGATGCTCAACATCACCAATTATTAGAGAAATGCAAATCAGAACTACAATGAGATATTACCTCACACTGGTCAGAATGGCTATCATCAAAAAATCTACAAATAATAAATGCTGGAGAGGGTGTGGAGAATAGGGAACCCTCCTACACTGTTGGTGGAAATGTAAATTGGTACAGCCACTATGGAGAACAGTATGGAGGTTCCTTAAAAAACTAAAAATAGAGCTACCATATGATCCAGCAATCCCAGTTCTGGTCATATATCCAGAGAAAACCATAATTCAAAAGGTCACATGCACCCCAATGTTCACTGTAGCACTATTTATAATAACCAGGACATGGAAGCAACCTAAATGTCCATTGATGGAGGAATGGATAAAGAAGATGTGGTACATATATACAATGGAATATTACTCAGCCATAAGAAAGAACAAAATAATGCCATTTGCAGTGACATGGTTGGATCTAGAGATTGTCATACTGAGCGAAGTAAGTCAGACAGAGAAAGAGAAATATCATATGATATCGCTTATATGTAGAATCTATAAAAAGGTACAAATGAGCTTATTTACAAAACAGAAATTGAGTCACAGATGTAGAAAACAAACTTACGGTTACCAAGGGGGAAAGGGGGGCATAAATTGGGAGATTGGGACTGACTCATAAACACTACTATATATAAAATAGATAGCTAATGAGAACCTACTGTATAGCACAGGGAACTCTGTTCAATACTCTGTAATGACCTATATGGGAATAGAATCAAAAAAGAGTGGATATATGTATGTGTATAACTGACTCACTTTGCTGTACAGCAGAAACTAACACAACATTGTAAATCAAGTATACTCCAATTTAAAAAATTAATTAAAAAAAAAAGAAATAAAAAAACCACAAAGTGTCTGTTGACTTTGATGGTTTGCAAGGTTCACAAACCTGGCCCTATTTTCTTTTGCTTTTACCCTACTCCCCCTACATTTTCAAATCCATGTGCAATATTGAGTGAATGTTCTATTCAACACTACGGGCCATTCCAGGAGTCACCCTGGTAAGACATGTAGATGTTCTGTTCTTTTAGATGTACATTTGACCTTTGAACTACAGGCATTTGAACTGCGGGGTTCCACTTATATATGGTTATTTTTCAATGGTAAATACTTAGTATTGAATCTGTGTATGTGAAAGAATCTTGCATAAGGAGGGTGACTATAAGTTATATTCAGATTAAACCCCCCTGTTTTTCGAGGATCAACTGTAGTAATAAAATCTTTTCAAATTTTCATATGCAGCAAATTCATGAAGCACAGAAAGTATCAAATTTTGTCCATTACTAAAAAGAACTGTTGTTTTTTAAAAGTTAATTGAAGACATCACAATTATACTTTTAAATGTTGCTTTTTAAAAAATGGTTCCTATGGGCTTCCCTGGTGGCGCAGTGGTTGGGAGTCCGCCTGCCGATGCAGGGGACACGGGTTCGTGCCCAGGTCCGGGAAGATCCCACGTGCCGCGGAGAGGCTGGGCCCGTGGGCCATGGCCGCTGAGCCTGCGCGTCCGGAGCCTGTGCTCTGCAACGGGAGAGGCCGCAACGGTGAGAGGCCCGCGTACCGCAAAAAAAAAAAAAATGGTTCCTAAATTAGAAAGTTGAACTCCAAGAAAGTATCAATAAATGTACTTTAAAGGGAACAAATAAATTACTAAGGAAAAGAAGCAGAGACTACATTCAAGGGAAACAATTATTCAAATATTTTTATTTAAAGATTTTGTTGGTCTAAATAACAATCATCTTTTAACTAATGTTTCATAAATCTGTTGCTGTACATAATACTCGTGGCATGTTTTAATACACTCTTCGGTCATGTTATAAAATAACAAATGCAGTGTTATTATTACTCAACAAATGCATAACATAACCAATCTCATAAAAACATCACCAGCAATGGGAAAGATACATGCCTTTACTATGACTAAAGGTAGCAGCCCAGTAACTTCCCGGAGCAAGCAGATTTTTGCATCACCCAGATGTATTTGCAAATTGGACTTCAAAGCTTTGCAATGGGCTCCATCCAGAAGGAGGTGGAAGAATGTGGGTGTGACCTGGGAAAAGAACTCTAGGTTAGCTTTGGGAAAGGTGGGGTGTGGCCATTGTTTGCTTTCCATCTTCTTCCTCTTTCCTACACTATGTCTAAATAAACATTTTAGGAAACAGTAAACTGGGAATTTTGACTGTAAGATACACAGTTATAAGGCATTAAAAATGGGGGGGGGGGTTGGCAAGGAAAATTGTACAAATTTGAAAATTCTCCTAATAGGTTGTTACTGGACCAGGGGCCTACAGAATCGTACTGTTTTCATCAATGCTCTTTGAACCCTAAGGAACAGAGACTCACTTGACTTTAGGGAAGAGACGTGGGTATTATTTGAAGTTTTCACACAAATTAGAATGGATCGCAGCCACAAGGCCCTGGATGTTACCTGGTTTTAAGCACTGATCTTTTTCCCTTGGTCCCTTTCATGTCCCCTTTCCTGGCCTCTCTCTGACTTAGATTCTCTCAAGGTCATCCTTTCCCGACCAGCTTATTCGCTCTTCTTCAGGCCACTTCATAATTTCATCTTGCACATGGCTTTGGCTTTCTCAAGCCTGTGGCGATTTGACAACTCCAGGAAAATCTCTTGCTGGTAATTCACTCCATTTTTTCTTATTCCGAATTTCCAAGGGAAAGACTCTTGGGTCAGGCTTGTCCAATCTGTGTGTGTGTGCTGGAGTGGAGGCGTGGGTGCAGTCGACAGAATGAGCAAAGACTTCATGGAGCAAAGGCCATGGATGGAATCCATTCCTTAGAAAGGGCTGCAGTCGTGCTGCCAGTGACCCATGTCTCTAGGACGCTTCACTTTTTATATCTTCTCAGCTCTTTATTCAAATATTCAGTTATCCATTCACCATCTTTATTAAGTAACTTCAATGAGTCAGCTCTAGGGGAAAATCACAATGTGAGGTGGAAAGTGAGGCTATTTAAAAGCCCTTGCTCCCCAGTAGCTCCCTTCACTGCAAATCTTACCCCTACCCCCCTCGCCTGCCCCAGATCTACAGAGGTTCAGGCGGTTGGCCCTCAACACAGTAGCACATTTTTGATTTGACAACTCTATGAAATGTAGTCATTTTGCCAGCATGAAAGAAAGATGTCTTTATGTGTACAATCTCCCCCTTTACATAAAAGTAGGCTCATGTCTTCATGGCACAAAGCTCTACATGAGAGCCTTCTGTAGGGTCTGTGGCATTTTAATCTCTGAAATGATATAAATATGAATATCTCACTAAGATATAAATAAAATCACATATAGGTGCCAAGGCAGGGAGGGCTGGAGCAGATGGGGAAGAGAAGACAGGCTCATGTGAAGAGTGATGTTTTCTTAATAAATCCTGGTAGTCAACAAAACGTTTGTTTGTTGTTTATGGTTTTGTTCTGGGGGTTTTTGCCATGTTTACTTTAACTCTTTTCCTTGGCAGATACTCAAGTTGGTAACTGCTTTAAAAACATCTTTCACTTTCTCAGCCAGGTGGTCAAGGTCAACATCAACAAAATAAGTCATGTTAATAGTCTGTACCCTTGATATGATGATATGGTGAAAATGACACTTAATCTTTGTGGTCTTTCCCCAAAACTCATCACCCTAGACTAATGACAAGAGAGACAACAGACAATTCATCACCATGCAGGAACATTCTAGGAAATACCTAACCAATATTCCTCAAAACAGCCAAGGTCATCAAAAACAAGGGAAGTCTAAGAAACTGTCACAGCCATGAGAGCCTAAGGAGACATGATAACTAAATGTAATGTGGTGTCCTGGATGGAATCCTGGAACAGAAAAAGGACAACAGGTAAAAACTAAGGAAATACGAATAAAGTATGGACTTTTGTTAATAATAATCTATCAATATCGGGTCAATAATTCAAATATACCATGCTAATGTAAGATGTTAGTAACAGGGAAAGCTGGTTACAGAGTATATTAGAACTCTATATCCTATTTTTCCAATTTTTCTATAAATCTGATGCTGTTCTAAACAAATAAAATTTATTTAAAAAGTCAACACTACTTAAGAGAACGCAAAAAAGTTATTTTTGTTTACTTTTACAAGAAATTTTAATATGATAGTTCTGATCTGCTATGCTTGCACTTCAAAGATTCTCTTGTAAACTCTCTGGAGTTGTGATACTACATTAACTCATCTTGCTTAAAGGTTCTGGAGATTAAAAAGAAGAGAGAGAAACAGGGAGTGGAAAGGGGTTACATTACTCAGGGATCTTACCCTTCCATCCAATACACAACATTTTTGGAAAAAAGAAGTATTTAATGATATAATCATTAAAGACTAGGCTCAAAATCATTCATGACTAGGTTCCATTTTTAAAAGCAATGCAATCGTATTATAACAAAAATTGCAAATATATTAAAAGAAACAGGGAGGAGGAAGGGTGAGCTGTGACAAAGCGAGAGAGAGGCATGGACATGTATACACTACCAAACGTAAGGTAGATAGCTAGTGGGAAGCAGCCGCATAGCACAGGGAGATCAGCTAGGTGCTTTGTGACCACCTAGAGGGGTGGGATAGGGAGGGTGGGAGGGAGGGAGACGCAAGAGGGAAGAAATATGGGAACATATGTATATGTATAACTGATTCACTTTGTTATAAAGCAGAAACTAACACACCATTGTAAAGCAATTATACTCCAATAAAGATTAAAAAAAAAAAAAAAAAAAAGAAACAAATCCCCAGTTCCACCCATATAACAAATTGCCCATTAAAAAAATGTCTTTCTCATATTCCTTCCTACTTGCTGCAATCATAGTGTTGATGAAATTGGGCATTCTGATTTTTATACTAACATTTTATCGTAAACATTTCCCAGGTGACTTCATAGTCTTAAACTTTTCATTTTCAAGGCCTGCATAGTAGTCTATCAGGTGGATATACCAACATTTAGTCGATCAATACCCCACTGCTGACATTTCAAAGAACCATTTGCACCGTGGAAAAATCCACTCCCCCTGTCCTTCAGCTGAAAGTTGAAATGATGTCTGTGGTGTATTTAATCCTTGGGAAAAACATGCAGTGTCTGAACTCTTGACCTGAGCCTCCTGCTGGGGCCCAGGGAGGAGGTGTACAGAGCCCAGATCAGCAGTCTTCAGGGTGCAGAGCAGAAACCCTGCAGCTCCAGGCACTCCGCTAGGCCTCCTCTTTCCCTTTCTAGTTATCACCATGCCTCCCTCTAAAATCAAAGGTATCTGGCCTTGGGCATTTAAGTACGACCAAATCCGCTCATAACAGAGAAAATGAGAGTTGCTGCTCTTAATTTTATGCATCACATATCCTAACAATGATATCTCTTCATGGACAGGACTCAAAAGAGGGATTGGAACAGGTGAGAAAGGCAAGGCTAGATAATAAATCACAAAGCTGCAGGGTATCCGGAAGGTGGAGGTAATGTGTTATTTGTGAGATGTCCTCAGACTGAGAACATTACTGAAACCCGTCAACTCCAGAGAGATAAATACTAGACACACCTGGCTTCTGCGTGTGTGTGTGTGTATGTGTGTGTGTGTTTAAATCAAACGCAATTAAATGAGACCTGTTATTCTTCCGAATTTTACTTCGAAAGTACTAGCTCAAGTTTCGTCTTGCCACAGGTAAAGAAAGGAGGGGCAGCAGATACATCATTAATTTAAAGACTGTTCTGTGGCAACAGGCACAGGAGACTATGGGAGTGGTGCCAAAATGCGTAGGGGTGTTCCGCACCAACTCATACACATGGTCGCTAAATTGGCAGAATTTACGATGGGAAGATGAAACACGATGAGTGATGTTCTCGTCAAAAAAGGGTATTTGGGGGGGGTGGTAGGATGAATTGGGAGATTGGGATTGACATATATACACTAATATGTATAAAATGGATAGCTAATAAGAACCTGCTGTATAAAAAAATTAAATTAAATTAAAAAAAAAAAACAGGACATTCTGGACGGTTCCATGCAAACAAGCACTAGGAGGAGGTTGGAGGTCTGCTGACCTCTTGAGTAAACTCAAGAGTAAACATCTGTGATGTCAGGCCCAGCATGGAGACACAGGAGGTTCCTTTCTTTCAAACTGAAATCAACACATAGAGAGCATTGCTCATTCCAAGAGAGAATGTAAGAGCCCTAAAATCTGAGATGAAGCAGATAATGTCACATCAGTCAGCTCTGACCCAGCTCGGTGACTGTGAGCCAAGGTGCGCACAGCAGGGATACGTGTGATGTGGAAGGGCAGACCGCTTGGCGCTGCCTGTGGTCTGAATCGGAAAACATTTCAGGGTGAGGGGTCCTATAATATACTGGGGCTTTTATAGTTAAACATCATACTTATCTTTTTTGTTTTTGTCGTTAAGCTGTTAATCCTACCTTACGTAGGTAGGATTCATTTTTATGTCAATAGACATTTATCACAGGAGAATAGAAGTCCTGAAAGTCCCACGCATCCCTTTTCCCCTTTTAACTTTTTGTCCTTTGCATATTTTCCTGTTTTCAGGTTATTCCACCCTTTCAAAATTCTGATAACATTTTTCTGTGTTTAGATGAATAAAAATCAGACAACTTAAAATTTATTTTGTGTAGTTCAGTTGGCCTTGTAGTGCCAAGATTTCTCTTTCTTCATAGAAAATCAATTTGGGTGTTCAAGAACCTGCTTGATTCATAGTTGACCTCAAACTCTAGTCCATTCGAATAAATCAGCTTCCAAAACAGGTTTAGTGATGTGGAAAAAGATGCGTTTTTATTTAACTTTTCAGAAATATCAGTTGGTGAGTTCCTAGGGCACTGCACCTACTTTCTCCATCTTTGTGTTACTCATAAGGCCTCACTGAGATCTTTGTCTGTATCATGAGTTCAGTAGTGTTGAATAAAGTGGAAAAATATAGTGTTGAATAAGTTAGAAAAAGAAAAGGAGACAAAGTTGGAATGTGAATATAGGCTAAAAGTAGAAATCCAACACAATTTTCTTGAAGGGGGGCTCTCATGTCACCCTCTCTCCTGTGCTGTTGAGGGGCTGGCTGTGGTTATGGGGGAGAGTGGTACTCCTACCACAGACCTGACTCCCTGTCTCTGGCTGTCTGGGTCAGGAGTGGGGGCCGGTGAGGAGGGCAGGGCTTGACAGGCCAGGCAAAGCAGAGGTAAAGGTGTTACCTGAATACATGAAGAACCCCATGGCCATGAAGCGTTTGGAAGGTGACAATGTCGCCAGGTGGAAGCAATCTCGGCTGGGAGCTCTGGGGCTGGGTTTCAGCCCTGTGTGTCATTTCTGTAGGGCCTCTTTACACAGTGTTCAACAACACAATCGTATGTGAGAGAAGTAGGGTAACATTGCTCCAGGCAATGAAGCACTAGAAGGTCAGGCAGGTGGAAAGTCAAGCAGTGATGGCAGACTAGGGACCCTGCTCAGCTTACCCAGGTGTTTTGAGTGTCACTTAATAAATGAGTCCACCCAAAAGGAGCTACCACAGAGGGTTACTCCTGAGCCTGCTGGACCAGCACTCTATCTTTCTAGACTACCAAGTGGTCCCAAGAGCAGCACTGAAGGCAAGTACAGGAGACCCTTAGTTCTACTGGGACACAGAGGCCTCACCCCATGTGGGCCAGGAAAGAGAGATGTCAGCGCGTGCCTTATCAGACATGGGTCTTCCCTCCTCTACTGCTGGGTGGTTTTCTGGCAGCCCTTCTTCAGGCTGGGAAACTACTTGCTCTCCCAAGGACAAGCATCTTATGTGGGCTCATTCTATAGCATTAAGCAGAAAGAGTGGGGTTGATGACATTGCATGGGCAGCTTGTGAATTTGACTCTAAAGAGCGGGGTATCCTGGTAGCGAAACCTCCTGCTCAGTTTCTGATCCATGCCTTCAGCCTTACGCACAGGTCAGTTTGTTTGGGAAGCCGGAGGGCTTCTGATGGTGATTCATCTTGTAGCACCCCTGGGGACTCCTCTGACTGTGACTGTGCTGCTGAGAAATAAGGAACTCCAAGGCTGAGTGATGTGCTGCCTGCCCAGTGCCGACAGCCTAACGCAGGCCTCTGCGCTTAGAGCCTGCTCTAAGCCCTTGACTATTTTTGAGTTGTTTGGCATGGGGAGTTGACAGACACTTCCGTTAGCTGTTTAGAGCGACAGCACATCGATTCACCACTGGTCATTGACAGAGGGGAACAAATAATATGGCGTTATCATGTGATATTTGTCTTTTCTGTCTGGCTTACTTCACTTAGTATGTCACTTATATGTGGAAACTAAAGAAAAAGATACAAATGAACTTAATTACAAAACAGAAATAGACCCCAGAGGTAGAAAACAAATTTATGGCTACCAAAGGGAAAGGGGAGGGGAGGGATAATTTAGGAGTTTGGGATTAACATATACACACTAGTATATATATAAAATAGATAACCAGGGCTTCCCTGGTGGCGCAGTGGTTGAGAGTCCGCCTGCTGATGCAGGGGACACAGGTTCGTGCCCCGGGCTGGGAAGATCCCACATGCCGTGGAGCGGCTGGGCCCGTGGGCCAGGGCCGCTAAGCCTGCGCGTCCGGAGCCTGTGCTCGGCAACGGGAGAGGTCACAACATTGAGAGGCCCGCATATGGCCAAAAAAAAAAAGATAACCAACAAGGACCTACTGTATAGCACAGGGAATTATACTCCATATTTTGTAATAACCTATAGGAGAAAAGAATCTGAAAAAGAATATATATATATATATATATATATACACATACATACATGTATTGTTAAGATTTTTTTCTCATTGGATTTGCTTTTTTATAATTAATGTTTATTGGAGTACAGTTGATTTACAATGTTGTGTTAGATTCTACTGTACAGCAAAGTGAATCAGCCATACATACCATACATATATCCACTCTTTTTTAGACTCTTTCCCCATATATATAACTGAATCACTTTGCTGTACACCTGAAAGTAACACAACATTGTAAATCAACCATATATCAATTAAAAAGAATATTATGTAAATACACACACACGCACAAAAAAATACGGTGTGCAGAAGTGGAAATACTCTCAGATTAAATTCAAGTCTACAGGGTTTACTGAGCAAGTGCCACTGATTTGGGAATTTGCTGAAGTCCTGAGTTTTTGAAGGAGAGAAGTCAGCATTCCCTCATTCTCCCACTTTGCCTGTCATACCTTTTATTTGTAGATACTTGATGGGTTCCCATTTGCCAGTGTAGTGACGTCTATCCACATCAACTATATTTGGGACTTTCCAAATAATTGTGCCAAAGGAAGCTTCACTTTATTAATGGTGGATGCACCATATTTCTTTGAACATAGAGCTGTGAGCTATTAATCCTAAAGCCAAGGTTTGAAGAACTAAAGCTGTGATTAAGACAACACTTTATTCTGGAGTCAAGGTCTTTGGAGTAGAGCACTGCGTGTTTCTATTAGGTTGTCATTTCTTCAGCTTCTCTTTCATGAAAGCACAGTGATGGCGCATAGTAGGTACTTGGTTGAATCTGGATTCCCTTGAAAGCAGAGCCTAAGACAAAGCTTTGCAGGCAGGCAGTTTATTTGGACGTGAACCTCTACTGCGCACTTACTGTATCCTGGGTGTTTTTGCTTATTATGTGTCATTTAATCTTCACAATGATTCTGAAAGGAAATAACAATAACAGGCAAACTTTAAATGGCATTATTCTAAGCAGTTCATATATATTCACTCAATAGTAACCAACAACAATATTTTTAGAGCCCAGTTTTATAAATGAGGAAGCCGAAGTAGAGAGAAGTTAGGGAAGTGCTCAATGTTTTGCATCCAGTAAACTGCACAGTCAAGGCCAAATCCAGATAATCTGGTACAAGAGACTTTGCTCTTATCCATGAAGCTCTACTGCCTCTTGAATAGTGGAATTATATATAGTTTTCTGATCTTCTAGGGTTACTTTTCAAGTAGACATTTTTGTCTTTTTTGAGTAGTTTTAGGTTCATAGCAAAATTTAGTGGAAGGTACATAAATTTCCCATATATCCCCTGCCCCACACATGCATAGCCTCCCACATTATCAACATCCCCACCAGAATGGTACTTTCGTTACAACTGATGAACCTACATTGACACATCATTATGGCCTCAAGGCCACAGTTTACCTTAAGGTTCACTCTTGGTGGTGTATATTCTGTGGGTTTGTACAAATGTATAATGATATGTATCCACTATTATAATATCATAAAGAATAGTTTTACTGCTCTAAAAATCCTCTGTGCTCTGCCTAATCATCCTTCTTTCCTCCCTAACCCCTGGAAACCACTGATCTTTTTACTGTTGCCTTAGTTTTGCCTTTTCCAGAATGTCATATAGTTGGACTCATACAGTATGTAGCCTTTTCAGAATGGCTTCTTTTATTCAGTAATATGCATTTAAGTTTCCTCTATGTCTATTCATGGCTTGATAGCTCATTTCTTTTTTAGCACAGAATAATATTCCATGGTCTGGATGTAGCACAGTTTATTTATCCTTTCACCTACTGAAGGACATCTTGGTTGCTTCCAAGTTTTGACAATTATGAATAAAGCTGCAATAAATACCCATGTGCAGGATTTTGGGTGTACATAAGTTTTCAATCCCTTTTAGTAAATATCACGGAGTGTTACTGCTGGATCATATGGTAAGATTATGCTCAGTTTTGTAAGACACTAGCAAACTGTCTTTCAAAGTGGATATACGATTTTGCATTCCCGCCAGTAACAAATGAGAGTTCCTGTTGCGCCATATCCCACCAGTATTTGGTATTGCCAGTGTTCTGGATTTTAGCCATTCTAATAGGCATAGAGTGGTATCTCGTTGTTTTAATTTGCATTTCTCCCTGATGACATATGATGTGGAGAATTTTTTCATATGCTAATTTTTCATCTGTCTATATCTTCTTTGGTGAGGTATCTGTTAAGGTCTTTAGTCTAATTCTCAATCAGATTGATTGTTTTCTTACTGTTGAATTTTAAGAATTCTTTGTATATTTTGGATAACAGCCCGTTATCAAATATGTCTTTTGCAAATATGTTCTCCTAGTATGTGACCTGTCTGCTCTGGGTTTCTGCTCAGATAAGTTGTGGTTCTCTGTATCTACCTGTCTGTACCTCCAGTGTGGCGGGCAGAAGTTTGCCCTGTGACCTCATTTCTGTTACGGATCTAAGAAGAGTTGCAGACTTTTCAGTTTGTTCAGCTTTTTACTTGTTACAACAGAGCGGCAACTTCCAAGCTCCTCCTATGACACAACAGAAACCAGAAGTCAGTATGTTGATTTTACAGATGTGGAAACTGAGGCTCAAAGTGCCAGACATATTGTATTAACTGTGTGGCCACAGACCCTTCTATCAACCAGTCCTAGAGCTGTTGCAGGCTGTGGGGCCGTATTTTGTGTCACATGATCTTGCTTCCCCCTGACCCTCTTTGTCTGGCCATGGATGATTAGACCAAGGATGGATAAAGGGAAAGAGCAGCCACAGACTGGCCAACAACCCCTGGCTTATGGACTGCTATGAAACACAAAATGACCTGGGCCAACCTGATCATTCCTTTTAGAAAAACTGGAAGGGAATGGGGATAATCTTAGTCAATGAGAAGTCAGAGACGTATTGTACTTAGAGCAGACTTGGGGAATGGACCAGAGTCATATTAATTATAAGATGGCAGGTCCACAAGCCACAGGGGTCTCTTGAGCTACACCAATACAACACAGCTCCAGTTTCAGGTTCAACAAGACCCAGCACCATGTAGTTTATGCCCCTGGTTTTCCCCTGAGATTCACTTCGATACAAATCTACTATAAATGCTCTTGACTTGAGCTAGCCTGGGTGGATCTCTGCTCCATATTACCAAGCTCCAGCTCAAAATTACAGTGCAGTTCGTAGTGGAGCTATACTTTAAATCCACATTTATCTGACTCAAGAGTCCATGACTCTCACAGCCTTCCGTTTGGACCAAGGAGCAGTATGTCTAGACATACTGCTCCTGATATGTTGTGATTATATTCCAGGATGAATGTAAAAGCTCACAGGGTGCCAAATAGGTGAGATATGCTGCCTAATTTAACAAATGCTAAGTGGACACAGCATATTATCTGCAACACAAATACCTTAAAATGAGAGAAATACTAAAGGTGAACAGAATCTTCTGGGAGAGCTCAGGGGTCTCTCCTTTGCCCTGAGCTCAGTCTGGAGGAGCCCTTCCCAAGTAGTATGTGTAGGGAACCCCAAGCCATGGAGAAGGTAAGTATGGCAAAATGCCAAAATAATACAAGTGTGGTAAACTTTCAGCTTGGTCTGCTTCTTTATTGCAATAAAAATAAAATCTGGCTTTATTCCTTAACCCCCTAGAGTCCCTAAAAATAACTTATCAATTTTCCTATTTAGAACAATAATGTGTGTTCATTGTACTCTTGAATTATTGTTTATTTTCCTTCTAATTTATTTTTTCTAGTTTTCTATCACTTTATATTTTTATTTCTTCTTTCTCATTTTACCCTAGTATTTGATTTTTCATTATCATCTTTCTTTTAGTTTTCTTTGGATTTTCATTGCTTTATACATCACTTCTAATTTATTATTTTTCAAAATTTATTCAAGAACAGGAAAGAAATAACTTTGAAAAGAAAACAACTATAAACATAGTCCTGTAGCATCTCTTGTAAAGAGACTGGTCCTGCAGGAATGCCACTCTTTCCTCCTGTTCTGTGCCAGCCAACACCCTCATGAGCAGTTACGTAATATAAATGTATTCACTGGACAGGTTATTCACTGGACTGCCTTTTTAACAACTGTAGACGGTGGTAGTAATAAACGACCCATCAACCCATCACCTTCATCCTGCTTTTGTTGAGGTCTGGGGACACAGCAGTCAGCAAGACACAGTCTCTGCCTTCAAGAAGCTCATCTTAAGTCTTGAGGGTGCTTTTTTTTTCTGTTGAAGAAACCTAATTTCATCCAGAGTTATGGTTCACCCTGCATACATGGTGGGAGTGGGGGGGGGGAGTTGAACTTCAGCTCTGCGACAGGCATTTGCAAACTTTTAGCCACCCTGTAAGGTCAATTTTATTGTCTCCCTTTTATCTTAAAACAAACAAACAGGGCTTCCCTGGTGGCGCAGTGGCTGAGAGTCCGCCTGCCGATGCAGGGGACACAGGTTCGTGCCCCTCCGGGAGGATCCCACATGCCGCTGAGTGGCTGGGCCCGTGAGCCATGGCCGCTGAGCCTGCGCGTCCGGAGCCTGTGCTCCGCAACGGGAGAGCCTGCAACAGTGAGAGGCCCGCGTACCGCAAAAACAAACAAACAAACAAAAAAAAACCCAAACCCAAAACAGAGGTAAAGCCTGCCTGTGGTCTCACAGCTCCTAAGTTGCAGGCAGCGCTAGAGCTGGGTACTGTGTGTTCCAAGCCTATGCTCCCTCTCACACCAAGCTCTAGATAATGGTACACGTATTGCTTTGGGTTCTGCTGTTTCTCACTTAACATGTCAAAAGCATTTTTCTGTGTTTCTATAGTATTCATGATAATCTTTTAAACTGACGATATGATTTTTCTCCCCATGCTGATGTACTCTAATGTAAACCAGTCTGTAGAACATTAAATGTTTATTTCTAAAAGAAAAAACAGCTCTGGGGGGCCGGGGGTCAATAGAGATGCATCATTTAGGAAATTTCATCAATATATTTTTCAATCTCATCTACAAAGCACCCACAGGGACTCATTCTTTTATTATCACTCCTTTGAAGAAGGCACAATATAATAAGATATAAGATTTATATCCAGGTTTCTGGAGTTCAGCATTTAATCTATCTGCCTCCAACTTGTCAATTACTGGTCTGATTAGCTCCTTCCAAAACGGTTACAGGAGAATGACTTGAACCACTACAAGTGGTCACAAGTGCAGGATTTCTTATAAAATAAAACATACATTTACCATTTGAGCCAGGAATCTACTCCTAAGCCTAACCTAGAAAAATGAAAACTACGTTCACACAAAAACCTAAATGTGAGTGTTTTTAGCAGCTTTGTTTATAAGTGCTAAAATATAGAAATAACCCGAATGTCCTTTAACTAGTGAATGGACACACAAACTCTAATACATCTGTACAATGGGTACTATTCATCAAAAGAAGGAACTATGACACATGAGACAACATGGATGAAGCTCACAGATGCATTATAGTAAGTAAAAGAAGCCAGGCTTCAGAAGGTAAATACTCTATGATTCCAGTTATATGACATTCGGGAAAAGGCAAAATTATAGAGGGAAGATCAGTGGTTGCCAGAGGCTAGGTGTGTGAGGAGGGGTTGATTACAAAGGGGCATGAGAGAACTTTCTGGAGTGAGGGAAATATTCTACATTTTGATTGTGGTGGTAGTTATCCTACTGCATGTATTAGTCCAAATTCACAGAACTTGGCACTAAAAGTGATGAGTTATTCTGCATGTAAATTACTCTTTAATAGAAAGAAAATTTTTTTTTACAGTCCAGGCTTTGGAATCAGACTGCACCTAAACTTGGTTCCTCAACATTTCAGCCATGTGAGCAGAGTTTGCATAACCTTTCTGTGTCTAATTTTCTTACCTTGTAAAACAGAGCTAATAACTGCAGACGGTTGTTGGGAAAATTAAATAAAATGATGTATGTAATTGTTTATCACAATGCTAGGCCACACAAGTGCTCAATACATGGTAGCTTTATTTTATCCCCCCCAGTAAAGAGCTAAGATGTTTCTAAATAGAGTTGTGTGGCTTTCTCTTTTAAATAGGAAATCAAAGTTTTATTAGAGGGACTTCCCTGGTGGTGCAGTGGTTAAGTATCTGCCTGCCAATGCAGGCGACATGGGTTCAAGCCCTGGTCTGGGAAGATCCCACATGCCACGGAGCCACTAAGCCCGTGCGCCACAACTACTGAGCCTCTGCTCCAGAGCCCACGAGCCACAACTACTGAGCCCATGAGCCACAACTACTGAGCCCACGTGCCACAACTACTGAAGCCCATGTGCCTAGAGCCCATGCTCCACAACAAGAGAAGCCACTGCAATGAGAAGCCCGTGTGCTGCAACGAAGAGTAACCCCCACTCACTGCAACTAGAGAAAGCCCGTGCGCAGCAATGAAGACCCAATGCAGCCATAAATTAAAAAAATAAATAATTTTTTTAAAAAAAGTTTTATTAGAGAGCTTTTTAGGAACGCTAGAGCCCCATTAAAAACAGGGCATCTCTTTTACTTCCTAAGCAAACTCTTATTCCCCCACAAAAATTATTTTCTATTCTTTCTCTAAAACATTGAGGATGGTCTCCAGAAGTCATTTATTCATCTTTCTTTAGAGAATAATGGTCATATCGGGTAAGTTTGAGTTCCTGAAAAATAAACTGAGGAATAAGTAGATAAGTAACCCTTTAGAACCTATCCACGGTATTAGTCCCTGAGATATCATTCATTCATTTATTCAACCAAAGAGAACCTATATGCACCAAATATTGACTGTCCTAAATGCTGAAGATTCAGTAGTCACTCAAGCAGGCAAAAAGTTGCTGTGCACAAGAAGCTTTGGTTCTACATTTAATGAGCTTCACAGAGTAAGCTTCCTATGCATTACATCCACAGAGATCTGAAGGACAGCCCTCAAGGCCCCAGTCACTTGGAAATAATCATGGACCATCTCCCTGAACCACACACACCCTCCCATTCCGTCTCACAATGTGCATTACTCTTCATTTCCTCCCTCTTGGGACTTAGATCCCTTCAGATTATGCCTTATATCCTTCCTTTTTGTTTAATTTTTATTTTGAAATCATTATCAACTCACAGAAAATGACAAAAATAATACAGTGAGTCCTGTGTCCCCTTCATTCAGCTTCCTTCAATGGTAAAATCTTATGTAATATAGTACAATACCAAAGCCAGGAAGTTAAAATTGTACAATATCATTAACTAGACTACAGACCAGATTCAAATTTAAACCCACATTTAAAAAGTTCAAAAAAAAATTTTTTGAAGTATAGTTGATTGACAATATTGTGTTAGTTTCAGGTCTACAGCAAAGTGATTTGATTATACATATACATATATATGTAGATATCTATATATTTTGTTCTATTCTTTTCCATTATACTTTATTATAAGATATTGAAGGGACTTCCCAGGCGGTCCAGTGGTTAAGACTTTGCCTTCCAGTGCAGGGTGTGCAGGTTCAATCCCTGGTCAGGGAGCTAAGATCCCACATGTGTCAGGGCCAAAAAACCAAAACATAAAGCAGAAGCAATATTATAACAAATTCAATAAAGATTTTAAAAATAGTCCACATCAAAAAAAAAAAGATATTGAATATAGTTCCCTGTGCTATACAGTAAATCCTTGTTGTTTATCTATTTTATATGTAAACCCACACTTTTTGCCCATTGATTGAAATTGTCCTTAGCTCCCTAAACTTCCAGGCCCTTTCTAGGTAGAAAGGAGTTTTCCTTCTTTGGAAACGTAAAGCTAAAGCCCCTAAGACCCACCTGGAACATTTCAGAGACCCCTGATCAGGGAGATTCTACTCAAATGTTGCTGTCACAAACTCACCATCTCAAAGCCAGTTCTGCTGGGTCTCTGCCAAAACTTCCTGCCAGATTTCATTTGAAACCACAAGGACACTTATTTCCACCTTGCCTCAAATCCTATCCCCACATGTTACCATCTGAAACACACACTCTTTCTCATCTGTTTTTCCATACTCTCATCCTCAGATACCTCCATGTTGTGTCATTTTCACCTGCCCACCTTTCCACTCCTTCCTTTCTCCAAATTTTTCAAGTATACTCTCTGAAATTCCTGTTTCATGGTAATTAAAATCCCTTACACGCACATACACACACATCCTAAACATGCCTTCACAGAATGATAACTTCACCTCCTTATCTTAAATAAGAGTAGACTTCTTGTGACTTCCCTGGTGGTCCAGTGGTAAAGAATCCACCTTCCAATGCAGGGGACTTGGTTTCGATCCCTGGTCGGAGAACTAAGATCCCACATGCTGTGGGGCAACTAATCCCAAGTGTCACAACTGCTGAGCCCGAGGGCCTCAACTAGAGAGGCTGTGTGCCACAAAATACAGAGCACATGCGTTCTGGAGCCTGCATGCCACAACTACAGCAGAGAAAAACCCGCACGCCACAACTAGAGAGAAGCTGGCGCACCACAACGTAGAGCCTATGTGCCACAAAAAAAGATCCCACATGCTCAATGAAGATCCCATGCGTCACAACTAAGACCCAACACAGCCATAAAAAAATAAATAAATAAATAAATAAATAAATAAATTTTAAAAAGACGACTTCTTTACAAAGTCACCATCTCCCTAGAAAACCTTTAGTGGAAGATGTTAATTCTTCCCTGTTGCCCATCAGCAGAACCCAGACAAATAACAGTACCATCCACCAAGTGGAGGCCACAAGGCAGTATCAGTATTCTCACAGCTCCTCAATGCCTCTTCCAAACTCTTGTTCCTTCATCTTTGCATAAAGACCCCCATGGCATCTGTCTGTTCTGCCTTCTACCCTCCAGATTGCTGTCCCCTACCAGCCACTTGACATTTATCCTAGACCTTGGCATCTCACTCATAGCTCACTTTTCTATCCCACATCCTTCTATTATGTTGAATAACACTGACACCTTTCAATGTCCAAGTGACTGACTTTTCCAAAACTCTAGCTTTCCAGTTTCTTGAACTTCTGAACTCCAGCTTCCTACACCCATGGCCACATCATAGACATGCTATAAGCCAGAATACTCCCTCCTGTGACACCCTGAACTCCAATACCCACTCTGATCTTTCTCCTGTATTTTGAAGTTTTTCACATCCATCGATGCCTTTAAATCTACCCGTACTGTTCTATGTCTCTTTCACGTCCCCCGTTACTCCATTTTCTCCTGATAACCCCATTTTCTCTCAACTTATCAGCTTCTTCCTAAACCCATTTACTTTCCTACTCAATGTGGGTGTCATGGTTAATGACTAGAATTCTTCACCAGCAACACAATTCCCAGGCACTCCCCTTCTTGCACTCCATGTTCCTGTTAAAGTCCCAACACTGCATCACAGCCAAAACCTGTGCTCTATTTTTCTATGGTTAGAATATTTAGCACTGCAAAGAAAATGTTCTGAACAATCCGGTTGGTGCCATTACAGAGTCATGATCTTCAATGCCATTCAACACATCTCTTTTCTTGTCCACTGTAATCTACTGCTCCCTCTCCCATTCTCTGCAACTGGGCCAAACCTTTATCATTCTGTGCAGTCTCCCTACCCACACTGTACACACTGTACATTCACCACTTGCACTTCAGATTGGTGCACACAAGTTTAAAAGAGTACTCTGATAGCAGTGAAGAGGATGTCTAGGCAGCCAGCCTCCGAGATGATCTGGGTGATCCTGCCTTCCGTTATAACTTTGTTAAATAAACATCTGTTAAGTGGAGCACAGAATGCTGGATGGTAAGCTGAAGTTCAACCACAGATGACAGAAGAAATTGAAATAGAAAAGTTTATTACTCACAGGTCCTAGAAGAAGTACAGGGCACACCTCAAGGGATCACACGGGAAGGTCAAGGCAGAGTGCAGACAGAAAGAGAGGGGCAGGACCTGCAGCACAGGTAAGCCCCACGGGAGTCTTATTAAGGGGGGCATAAAGTATACAGGTGCTGGAAGGCAAGGGAGACTTTGATCATGAGGGCTGTTAGGCAAGTCATGTCAGGAACTTACGTTTGCTTGTGACTCTGCAGGCTGCTATCTGGGATATGTGCTTGCATGAGGGGGCTAGTGTCAGTTTAAGGTCCCTGCAGGCCACTTGGCTAAACAAAATGGATGCTAAGGCAGCAACACCATGGAGTAGCTTGGCTCAACTCTTGACACCTTCTGCTATTCATGCACTTCTGTGGTCTCCTCTCTCCAACAGACTTTGCACGATCGACAGGGTATGGTGCAGATGAGTGCTGAGGCTAAGTCATAAAAGGGATTGCAGCCTCTGTCTTGGCATCTTGGATCATTTGCTGTGGTGGAAGCTAGGTTACCAGGCCATGAGGTGATTCAAGCCACTCTGTGAGGAGGGCTACCAAGCAGGACCCCCAAGGAGGAACTGAGGTCTTCCACCAGCAACTACAGCAATTTACAAACCATGCATGGGAGCCATCTTGGAAGTGGATCCTCCAGCCCTGGTCAAAGGTTCAGTCAACTGCAGCTCCAGCCAACGTCTTGACGACAACTTCACGACAGAACCACACAGCTGAGCTTTCCCTGAATTCCTGGTCCACAGGAACAGTGAGAGATAATATGTTTTTATTGTTGTTTTAAGTTACAAGTATAAGATAATTTGTTATGCAGACATAGATAACTAGTACAGATTTACAGAAACAAGACCAGAGGCAAGGAGACTGGTCAGGAGGTCATAAAACACTCAAGGCAAATGCTAACAAGGGCCCAAATTACAGCTGTGGGGTACAGATGGATAGGAGAGGAGGATCTGAGAAATATTCCGGAATAGGAATCTGCATGAAATTGAGTGGATGTGGGTGTTCTAGGAGCATATAATTATTCTCAGCTTTCTAGCTTTGGTGGCTAGATGCCAAAAATTAAAATAGAAAATGCAGGAGGAAGAGTGTGATTGGAGAGAAGGATGATGAACTCGGAATTGTGACTTTGAATTTGAGGTGCACTGGGGTTCTATGTGGATATGCCACTAACATCTCCACACTGCCCACTTCCGTGGTCTCTTTTCAGTCTGTTACTGGAGGGCTTTGCTGCACTTGACACGGTTAACTACTTATCTCCTCAAATTTTCTACTTTCTTGGCTTAAGACTCTTCTGGTTCTTCTCAAGCACTTACATTTTCTCCTCAATCTCTCTCATCACCTTCTTTGCTCATCCAAACATCAGTGTTCCACAGGATTCCACCTCCACCTACTACTCAATTTCTTCCAGATGCTCTGCTGTGGGTCCCCTGGAATCTAAGACTTACCTCCACAAAATCAGCAGAATGAAGCTTTAAAAACAAATAACCTGATTTATGGCTCTTTTTATGGCTACATATTCAAATTTCTAATTGACATAGTTGTATTCTGTACATCGGTTCTAACTTTCTGTTACTGTTTGTGACGTTATGATTTATGATAAGAAATATATATTTGGTTTTTGTCTGTGTTCCTGGCTCAGAGCTCCCCAAACCCTTGTGATTTCCTAAGTAATTAGAGCAACAAGGGCACATTTTGTTATAATATTTGGTTTTGTCCTCAATTCCTGAAATAGCTCCAGAGTGATAAAGGTGAAACAGGTGTTTTTGCTGTTGTTATTCATAAGAAGTCCTTTTCAATCATATCTGAGTTTATGTTAATGAGGAGACTTTTGAAAAGCCCCTAAGGATGGGGGCTGGTTGTCAGGGGAACACCAACCAACGGTCTGATTAGAGGGTTGGAACTGTCAGCCCCACCTCCCCACCTCCAGGGAAAAGAAAGGGGTTAGAGTTTGAATCAGTCACCAATGGCCAATGATTCAATCAATTATGCTTACATAATGAATCCTCCATAAAAATCCCTGAACTGCAGGTTCAAAGAGCTTCCAGGTTGGTGAATATGTGGAGATGCTGGAACAATAGTGTGCCCAGAGAGGGCATGGAAGCTCTGCACTCCATCCCACATACCTTGCCCTATGTATTTTTTCCATCTGGCCGTTCCTGAGTATTATCCTTTTATAATAAATAAGTAATCTAGTGAGTAAAGTGTTTTCCTGAGTTCTGTGAGCCTCTCTAGCAAATTAATCAAACCCTAGGAAAGGGTCATGGGAACCTCCAATTGAGAGCTGATTAGTCAGAAACACAGGTAACAACCTGGACTTGCAACGGGTGGGAGTGGAGGGGGTCTTCCAGTCTTATGGGACTGAGCCCTTAATCTGTAGGATCTGTGAGATCTGACACTATCTCTAGGTATATAGCGTCAGAATTGAGTTAAATTATAGAATACCAAGCTGGTGTCTGTAAAACCTGAGAATTACTTGGTGTGGGGAACACTCCCACACATTTGCAGTACATAGTTCTGTGAGCATAATGAAGGAAAACAGGAGAGTTTTTCTTAAACACTGTTGTAATTCTATATGTGAACTTTTGCAAATACATGTCATGCCCTTCTGGACACATTGTAGAATTGAACTTCCATGTCTCTTTATCCTTTAAACTAAAGTAAAGTATGGTCATTTTTCTACCCTTGGCCAATGAAATGTGAAGAGAAATGACAGGTGTAGCTTCTTCAGGAAAGTATTAAGAACAATCATTTACCAAGTTCCCTTTCTTTTACTTTGGTTCTAGTCCCTGGATTACCATAGGGAGCAGAACTCTCTGCTGATGTGCATTAGACATGAATATGGGGGAGAAATAAATGTTCACTATGTAGAGTCGTTAATTTTTTTTTCTTGTTATCATATTACTAAGCCCACCCTGATGCAACTGCAACAAAATTCCAGAGAGTGTAAGAGTATGTCTCCTCTAGTTCTGAGGCCCCTTGTGTCTAATAAGTAATATCTGAAAGTTAACAATCTCAAACACTTAAGTTGACTGAACACTGCTGATGTATCTACTTCCCAGTGTCTTACATATCAGCCTCAGAAGAGGAAGCTGCAGACTTCGTCTTCCTGTTGTCACATTCAATGAAGGCGAGATCATTCATCAGTTTAAAATTATTTCAATTTCAATTATAATACTTAAGCCAAATATACAGGATACTTGAAACCTCTTTTGAATATCCTTTGGGCTATCAATAGGACATAAAGTCTTCAAGACACCACCTAAATGTACAAGATTGCTTGAAGGATAAAGGAAACATTTGGTTCCTTGGTGGTGGTAGGAGTAGGTATAAGAAAAGTTATAAGAAAATAATTTTAATATTTTTATTCATTATCTCTCTATATTTATTAAATATCATCCTTTTATGATAAGTTGCTGTTGTCAATTTTTTATTATTCAAGGTAACTTTGGACAATACTAGTCCTGAAAATCTTGTAGAATGCTAGTAATTCATGTTAAAATGGGTTTTTCTAAGAGTTTCCTTCCAATATTACATGTATATTATGTTAAATAAAAGCCCTATAAGATCAGTCTCAATCTGTATCATTACAACACTTCACCTTTTGACCTATTGCCATATAAGGAAATTATGTTTGTGGCCAAAATGGGAAATACTGGAACACTCAAGTGAATAAAACCTTCTTCAGTTACTGATGAGATCTTCAGTATGTCCATATAATTTCTCAAATAGCTACATTAGGTACATTTTTCTAGCAATATTAAGGGGCACATTACATAGAATTTTTAAGCATTTTGAAGAATATATGTGTCTTAGTCATCTCAGGCTACTATAACAAAATAGTACAGACTGGGTGGCTTAAAAACAACAGATTTTATTTCTCACAGTTCTGGAGGCTGGGAAGGCCAAGGTCAGTGTACTGGCATGGTCAGATTCTATGAAGAGCTCTCTTCCTGGCTTGTAGACATCCACCTTCTAGCTATGCTCATATGGCCTTTCTTCTGTACTTGTGAGTGGAGGGAGAGAGAGAGAGAGAGAGAGAGAGAGCTCTGTATTCCTCTTCTTATAAGGGCACTAATCCCATCATGAAGGTCCCACACTCATGACCTCATCTAAACCTAATTACCTCCTAAAAACCCCAACTCCGAATATTATCACATTTGGGGGTTTAGGTCTTCAACATATGAACTTCAGGGGAGGGCAAACATTCATCTCATAACAATATTATATAACATCCTTTTGAACAATCATAACATAAGCATTGTTAAGTAAAGAATTTAATATGTAGATACTGAGGTAAAAAAATACTTGGTCTTAAGGAAAAAGACCTTTTTGTCTGAATTATTAGATTGTTTAAGACAGAACATATTGGCCAGGTAATTGGCCAGCTCTACACCACACTCTTAAATGTGTAAGATAATTTAAAAAAAAGGGCCTGGACAAGAAAGTTTCCAGATACCAAGAGACTAGATCCGATAAGCTAAGTATGAGGGTACAGGATCAGGACAATTTGATCATGTACACGTATTCATCCCTTGTGTCTTTTTTCATTACACAATTAGAGAAATGCTGCCTTAAAAAGTAATGCATAATATAAAAGATTCCATTAGGCAGCATGGTGGGACAATTGGTTTTAATCCAAATAATGCATGTGGTTACTTATTATTATAAACGGATCTTTGGGGTCCTGGCAATTTAGTATAATACACTTGATATTCGGCACATATACAAACTCCTTGATAGTAAGCAAATCACCTGTTCTATAAACAGTGAACAAGATTCTAATCTACTTGTGATCCTAGGCAAGTGAATAGACTGTTACGGTGCAGCTGCTAAGTGTTTGAGTAGACAAATGTGGGGAGCTACGGACATGTTCAGGGGATGCCTGACCCTGTCTAGGAGTTTTAAGGAAGTCTTCTTGGAGGGAGGGCCGTTCATCTGAGTAGGCACTAGTCATGTAAAGGTTGGTTAATTTTATGCATCAGCTTGTCTGGGCTAAGGGATACCCAGATAGCTGTCAACACATTATTTCTGGGTGTGTCTGTGAAGATGTTTCCAGAAGAGATTAAAGTTTGAATTAGTAAACTGAGTAAAGCTTACTGTCATCAGTGTGGGTTGGCATCATCCAATCTGTTGAGGGTCTGAATAGAACAAAAAGGCAGAGGAGGGGCAAATGTGCTCTCTTTGCTTGAGCTGGGACAAACATCTCCTCCTGCCCTCAGACATTGGAGCTCTTGGGCCTTTAGACTGGGACTGGGACTTACACCATTGATTCCCCTAGTTCTCAGGCCTTCAGGCTTGGACTGGACCTACACCACCATCTTTCTTGGGCTTCCAGCTTGCGGATGGCAGATCGCAGGCTTTTTCAGTCTTCATAATAGCATGAGCCAATCTCTCATAATAAGTCACTTTCTATATATCTCTACATATCCTTTTGGTTCTGTTTCTCTGGGGAACACTGACTAATACAGAGAGAGAGAAAAAGGAGAGAATGTTAGATTTGCTAATAAATAAATGAATAAATAAGGGAAATAAGGGAAAGGGGATTATGAAGTGGAGGGAAGGGGGGGATGTTTGTGGAACAGTGAGAAAGGAAGTGAGATTGGAGCACAGTAATGAAAGAAGAAAGAAACAGCAGAAGAATCAAAGAGGTAATGGAAGAAGGAAACAGGCCAGGTGAGATCTTGTGGGTCACATCTTAAGTAAGGTGGGAATGCTGGGAGACTTTGAACAGAGGAGTGGTAAGATCTATCAAAATTTATTCTGACTGATATTTAGAGAATGGAATAGGGGAAAGAACGGAAGCAGAGTTGGTCCTAGATAGTGGGGGTGATGAAAACAATTAAATTCTATCTACATCGCAAACGTAGAACTGACAGGGTTGTTGACAGACCAAATATGGGAAAGAGGCAAGGATGATGCCAAGGATTTGGCCTGAACAATGGAAGGATGGAGTTGTTATTAATGAGGAGAGGGAAGGGCACTGGAGAAGCAGGTTGAATGGGGACATCAGGAGCTCAGTTTTGGATGGTTAAGTTGGGAATGATTATAAAACATCCACGTAGGAAAGCTGCTAGTGGTTGGATGAATGAGTTTATATTTCACTGGAGATTCTTGGCTAGAAATATAAATTTGGTAGTCGACTCAGCAAATAGGTAGCCTTAAAGCCCTGGAATTAGGTAGGATCACTTACGGTGATCATAAATATTAATGTGCAAATGGATTACTAGGGATTTTGCTAACATACAGATTCTGATTCAGCAAGTCTGGGGGTGTGGGTGTGGGGCATTTCTAACACTCTACCAAGTCAAGTTGCTGGTTCCCAACACTGAGTAGGAAGGACATAAGGGGTGAAGAAAAGAGATATGTGCTCTGAATGCTGGGTCTCTCCAATATTTAGAGGTTGGGGCAAAGGAGACTGAGGAGAAACAGCCAGAAGGTAAGTTAAAAACTAGGTATGAAAAAAATAAAAATTAAACATATTTAAAAATTAAAATAAAGAAAAAATAAAGAAAATTAATACAAACTAGGTATTTCTGTGGTCCTGGAAGAAAGAGGAAGTGATCAACTCCTCCAATGCTTCTGACAGGTCACATAAGACGAGGACTGAGAGCTGACCATTGGAATTAGAAGTGCCTAAGTCACTGGTGACTTGGCAAGAGCAGCTGCAGTGGAGTGGCAGGGGCCACACTTGATTAGAATGGACTCAAGGGAGAACGGGAGAAGAGATACTGGAGATGGATGATATGATGGTCAACTCTTTCAAAGAACTTAATGCTAAAGGGAAGGAGAGAAATGGGGGTATCACTGAAGGAGGAAAAAGCTCAAAATCAGATTTTTAAAGGTGGGAGAGAAAGTTCAATGTTTGCATGCTAACGGGGATGATCAGTAGAAAGAGAAAAATCAAGGATGCTGAGAGGGGAGAATGCTACGGCAATGATCTTGAGTGGGCAAGAGGGGATGGATTGTAGTGCTTGGGAGGAGGGCGTGGTTTAGCCAAGGGCACAGCAGTCCACCCGTGGTTACAGGAAGAATACAGAATGTTACACAGACTTCTAGACGGGGTGGTGAGAAGATGGGGAGGTGATGGGAGCTATCTCCTCTGATTGCATCTTTTTCCTTTTGTCATTGAAATAGAAGCATGATCGTTAGCTAAGAGTAAGAATGGGAGGTTTGAGACTGAAGAGAGTATGAACTCCTCACCTTAGAGAGTGAAAAGATGATTAGATCAGAGAAATACTGTGTGATTACTGGGCAGCGTTAAGTGCTCACTTGAGATCAACAGTCAGGAATCTAACGTGAAGCCAGTCAACGCTGTTGCCGTTCCTCTCCAACCACATCCAGCCCTGTAGGTCAAAGCCCAAAGCTAGATGAGCAGGACTATGGTTTAGCTACAATAAATCAATTTTTTAAAACTCTTCTAGTCTCATGTGAGTGAGTGCTGGAAGTGGCATCACAATAGTAACAATAACAATAATAGTAACAATTATAGAACTCTTAATATGTGTCAAGCACTGGGTTAAGGTCTCTGCTCTCATTTAATCTTCACCAGAAAAAACAAACAAACAAACAAAAAAGACCACAGACTATCAATACTATTATTACTACCATTTCACAGATGAAACAGAGGCTAAGGTGGGTAAATAATGCCCAAGTTCAGACATCTAGTAATAGAAATAACTAAGAGTTGAACGCAGGGTTATTGATCAGCTCAGAGTCTAGCACGGAAATACATTAGAAACAGGGTGAGTCCTAGGTGAGTCATGCTACTTCGAGGGCATGCTCAGGTAGCCCAGGGAACACAGATGTGAGTTGCTTTTATTTTATTTTATTAACTAATTTTTTGAAGTGTAGTTAATTTACAATACATATATTCTTTTTTAGATTATTTTCTATTATAGGTTATTATAAGATACTGAGTATAGCTCCCTGTGCTATAGAGTAGGTCCTTGTTGTTTACCTATTTTATATATAGTAGTGGGTATACATTAATCCCAAACTCCTAATTTATCTCGCCTCCCCCCACCATACACACTATCCCCTTTGGTAACCATAAGTGTGTTTTCTATGTCTGTGAGTCTATTTCTGTTTTGCATCTGCTTCATATGTATGAGAGCTGCTTTTATTTAAAATATATATATTTTTAAACAAAAATAGGTGGGCACAAACATTTTATAATAATAGAAGTACACATTTCCATCTGTGTGAATATATTAATCATTTGTGCCCTAGTTAAATGGCTGCTACCAGAAATATGACAGGAGTGATGCTTCCCCCTAACTTGAGCATGGCTCAGAATGACAATGATTCTCGTTCAGTGACATCATGAGTCCGTGACCATGGCCATCCATGCAGGCTTCCCACAATTTCCCTCCTCAAAGGCGTTTTAGGGGAGCAACAAATTCCAGGACTTTGAGTATGTGTCTTTATCCTGATATAACCCCCAAAGCTTTGGATATTAGAGCCCATAATGGGAAAGTAAGTGACAAGAGGTTTTAGTATGCTGGCTTTTTTTAAGTATCCCTAATGTAAAGGGTTGGAAGGCCTTCTCTTGACTCTCTCTTATCCTCTTATGGTTTGAAGTGGCTCTTATGGAAAAGCAATCCACACTCTGATTCTGTGATGCCTCTTTTGGAAGAATGGCTAATGACTTCTAACACAAAAGCCTGGACAGGAATCCGTATGCTCTATGTAGGCCTCCTATGTGCCAGACTGGTCTGGCCAGTGTACAGATGTGTCTCATTTAGTCTGCACCCAATCCTGTGAAGAAGCTTTTTTGAGCCTGAGTAAATTACCCAAGGTCTCTCAGCTAGAAAGAGATGGAGTTAGGATTCTAACCCACCTCTCAAGGAATAAATCCTTTAGCTAGTTTACAAAAAGAATTCTGCTTCTTTTAGCTTATTTCATTTTATTCTATTCTATTTTATTTTTTGGTCTAGCAGAATCTCTTTTCAAAGGTTTAGAAATGACTCTGTCAACACAATTCAAAAATGTGCTTCAAAGCTTCTTGATTCGTTTTGTTTTCCTAAATCAGAAAATGAAACTTTATTAACAGGTGAGTTGTCTCCTAGGTACTTCGTGGATTAAAAATGAAGGCAAGAATAATAATAATGGATTCTTCCGGCACTTGGTAGAACACCTCTACAAATAGGTAATGGCAAATCCCCAGGTTTTCCAGGCAATGTGGAGTTGCCAGATGAGGCCCTCCACTCTTTAAAGATACAAATGATCCAACCAGGCAGCAGGAAAATTAATAAATGCCTTTTGGGATAACTGGGAGCTGCTCCATCCACATGATTGAGGGGTGACCTAAGTCTAGCTCTCCAGCCCTCTCCCATAATGCACTGCTGAGACTAGGAGTTCCCTAATTGTTTTACGAAGCAAGTTCCTGTCACAGAGCAAGCTTCTTCAGACACACAGCAATGTAATGATGCTTCAGCTAGGATGCCACATGCAGGGCACCACACAAATGTAAAAGTGCACGCTTCCCCTGGGAAAGGAAAAGAGGCCACAATGCCATAAAGAATGTGAAGTATGTTCTGAGGATCAAAGGATTCCAAGTCCTTTCCTTTCGTCCGAGGCTGCTTTCCTGGAGCAAGTCTTTCATGATCTACTAGTGTGCACATTCCTGTGAGCCTAGGACCACTCGCTGGTCAGGCAGCACCTGCAGCCTCTGCTGGCAGCAAGTGAGTCCTCGACAAGCTCTTGTTCATCTCTGAGTCAAGCCTTCGGCACTGTCCAGGTGCCAAGAGCATCAAGTCTCCACAGCGGGGGAAATCATCCCCATTAGGATAACAAGATTAACTAGGAAGACAGGTGAGGTCACCTGTGACTTTGTGCCAACCTGGCAACCCAGGCTGGTGCTCGTGAGATTAAAATGCCCTGCCTAGCAACAGCTCTGATGTTGTGTCAAACTGGCTGGAGCTGCTTGCTTAACTATTTTTCAGCCTCAAACAGGAAGTCCTCAGTGGCTCAGTTCAGAAAGAACGCTAAGGTAAGATTAGAGAGAAAGGTCATCAGTTCCCGAACTTCTCTTCAGGGGGTCAAAGAGCTGAATTCATACAATATTAAGAAAACCCTTTGGGAAGTCACAGAAGAGCAGAATAAACAAACGGGTGAGCCAGAGGAGATCTTTCCGTTGCTGGTGTGTTTCAGTGTAACTGAAAAAAATGGAGCCATCTCACCAGATGCTGAAAACTAAAGACTGGTCCGCATGAGTCCACAGCTCTGAAATTTGCACAGTGGCCAGTTTGTCATTTAGTTTGAGCATCCTCTCTTCCTGGGAGTTTCTGTGTCTGCCCTGCTGACCTCCATCAGAGCCTTTTGAGAGAAAAACTCTCCTAGCACACCTGCTCCTGGGCTCCTAGATGATCCCTCGGTCTGATCCTCCCTGGCAAACCCAAGGGACTGAGGGAGCTTGTCAGCTCATTTTGTTTCCACAATAGGACAGCTTCCTCATGAAAATATACTGAGGACCCCAGCCCATTGTTTAGGATGCCAACTCGTTATTCTTCAGGATTGTGGGCGTCCTTATAAATGGTGCCTTTCATCAGAGAAGGGTGACGAGTGGGGTGAGGAACCAAGTGGTGGGTGAAATCTTTAAAAAATGGACAAGTAATTCCATTAAAGAAATCAGGGCAAAGGTCCTAAAACAGAGCACCTTCCACCAAGCACAGCAATGTCATGTGCAGACTGGAGCTGGGACCACAGAAGCCCTCAGGAATGGGGCCGCTGCTCTGCCCTTTCCACCTGCACATCCCCTCCATTTTCCTCACTGCAGCTGCCTCCTGGGCTTCCTAAGAAGCAGACCAATGCTTACAGAGATTGTGTAAACTCGGTTAAGAATGGCCTTACCTGGGTTTCCTCCCAGCTCTGCCTCTTACCAGCTGTGTGACCTTAGGAAAGTCATCACATCCAAATCTTGGTTCCCTCGTTTTATAATCAAGATGGTGATGTTACCCACCTGATAGGATTCTCACATAGTGCTTGGCACACGGAAGCATTTCATAAGTGTTAGCTACTATTTTTGTTGTTGTAATTGTTGTTACTACTTGCAGTTACTTCTTCCCTCTCATGCTAGCTTGCCTGTGGCTTTGGCTTCCCATGCACAACTGCAACCCACTTCCTCAGTGACCTTTCATTCTGGTTTCCCCAGAGAACCATCTTGGTCTTGCTATATGCAGTATCCCCAATCGCGGTGCCGTTGGCGCCCGCTACTGTTCCATCAGCTATAGCCAGAGATCGTGGCTACACTGTAGATGTGTAGTCACCTAATCCTCCAGCTTCAGAAGGGTTTTGGGGAGGGATGATCCTAAGGAAGTGTACTTTGAAAGAGACACACCCCATAACCTACCTACTACATTCTTTCAGGAACTTTAAACAAAGCTATTTTCAACATTCCACTTTCCTATTAGGAGCCCAGTGTATTGTTAATGCTATCAGTAAACACGTTTAATTTTGAGGGTCTCATGTATCTTTTTTGGTGTTACGGTGGAATCTCAGAGGTTGATGCTGGGCCCAAAATATCTGTCAGACCTGAGGATGCATTCTCTTCCTTCTTAAAATCTACACGGTCCAAATCAACGAGCCTGTTTCTGCTGGACACTTACATGCTATCATCATGTGATTGGTGTCAGACTCATCCCAAAGCACCGTTTCTTTCCTTTGTAATGCTAGGGGGAAAATAATAGCTTTCATTAATCTACAGTTCTAAGTTCAACATCCTCCATCTTCACACTGGTTTCTAATATCAGTCAGTACCGGGCTGCTCCCACCTTTTTGGCTCATTGATCATGAAGGTTGCTCTAACTGAGTATTAGACTCAAGAACCTAACCACACATTTTTCCTCCATTCCCCATGTGATTTAAATGGTCTGTCCGGACACTCTGAGACTGTAGTCACCATGCTGTTCTTTGCCATCTATGCTACTCTTGACTTCACGGCCATGGCTGACCAACACCTGAACCTGGGATCATGAAAACTTAGAACGTTTGAGTTGATTCCCATCAGATTCACAACTACAGAGACGGTTAAAAGAATAGATACCCTTCAGTAGACAGTTGGTTTGGAATGGGACCCAGACATTTTTTTTTCAATATATTAATATTCGGGAGACTTAAAAAATATTTTTAAATTTTAAAATTAAGATAATTTGCATACAGTGAAATTCATCCTTTTTACTGTACAATTCTCAGATTTTGACAAATGTATTCAGGCATGCAACTACCATTATAATCAAGATATAGAAAAATTCTATCACCCCAAAAAGTCCCCGCATACTTCATAGCAGTCATCTCATTCTAAAACAGTCTTTAGGTGACTGTGATGGACAGTCATGCTTGGGAATCACTGATATGACCCAAAACCTTTTACAAATGGAAAAGTTATATGGTTCCTGCTTGACAGCCAAGACTTGGATTTAGGTTACCTTTCCTCTTTTTATCTTATCCCAACATACAACACTTATTCTAAAGTTTTTTCTTTGTGCAAGGTGGTTCCTCTAAGTAAAAACAAGCCTATGAAATAAACAATAAATTAACCATAAACTAAAGCAAATAAATCCCCAATTAAAAGAGAACAAAATTTTTATAAAACTGCAATACATAATCCAGAGAATCCTTAAATTAGTCTGAATATACTCAGAAGAAATAGCAAGGTAGGAAGGATTAATTGTACCGGATTCCCATCACAAAATGCTACTCTTTTCTTTTCTCTTTTTTCTTTTTGCAAACACTCTATGTGTCTAACCCAGGGCTAAAATACACCCTTGGTGAATCACCTCTAAGCAATACCCAGTAACTTAACCTCCTTCCTCTCTTACTTTCCCTCTGATCTGGACAATGGAAAGAAACAGACTTGGAGGAAGCACACGCCATAAATATCTCAGGGTGACTGGCAGATAGACCCAATCCAATTATGGCCTTATGATTAGCCTATAAATAAAGTAGCTTTGCCTTTAGATGCACCTCCCAAAGATAGAAGCCATTTTGCTTTGAGAAGCAAACAGCCCCACCCAGGGGATGGGCCAAGAAAGGCAAAGGAATTGTGAAGTCCTACACGCTTTTAAGAGAAAAAGCTCTGGAGCTCCACGGGGATGTGCCCACAGGGGCAGCACTGCGTGTGAGATAGATCCATGCTGGGGGTAACGAGCATTTGCTGCTTTGCTCTGCATATGCCAGGAGCCGAAGTCAAGAATCATTTCCAACCCTAGGCATGTGCTCCAGACCAAGCAATGAGCACCAGTCATCCCTAAGGACACAGGATGACCCTTTCATGACATCTAAATACACTTTCCACCCAGAGATGTGTTTTTCATCTTCCTCCTTGGCTCTGTGCCAGAAATGATGCCCTCCGAGGGGCACTCAATCCCCTAAGGTCTTTAGGAGTTCACAGATCCCCAGCCTTGAATCTTAAGCAGTCTCCTTACTTTTCTTTCTTTGGTTTATTATCTAACGTATTGCTCAAGGTGATCTGATAAAGCTTTGGTTAGAGCCCTTTCTCCAACCTTGAATGAACACAGAGCAGTAATCATTGAAAGATTAACTTCCCAACGACTAGCCTGGCTCTCTCTGAGTTGTAGAGCCTGGAGATGAAGTACCCGGATGCTGGCACAAAACCACCAGGGTTTGAATCCTAACTCTACTATTTGTCTACCACGTTAGTGGGCAAGTTAGTTAATATCCTTTGGGTCTCAGTTTCCTCATCTGAAAACTGGGTGCAATAATGTTACCTACCTCAAGAGGGTGAAAATAGAAGTACTTAGCCCTGTGCTATCATCTTAGGGAAACTTGGAATAGTCTAGCCCATCCTGACTTCTTTAGGCAATACTGTATCTAAACTAGCTCTTGCTGGGGACAGGCAACTGAGAACCAGCAGTTACCAAAAAATTATGACTGATATTAAATATTTAACTTAAAAATAGTCTTTGCAATGCTTCACCAAACTATTTTAAAATATACAGAAATGAGCAATTCCCCTGGAATGTTAAAGAAAGTCAGTGGCTAAAAAGAATGTTCTTCTGAAGGCCCATATGTTTTTGCCATTATTCAACCTATGAGGCCACGTCACATTCCCAACATTCTGAAGAAACCACAGGTAAATTTTAGTGTCTGAATTTTTTAAAAGGCCATTCTTATTTATTGTCCCTACTCCCATTAACTGTGTCACACAAAACAAATGTGTTTTCCATGTGTGCTTGTGAGGCGTGCACGTGTGAGAATTAGCGTTTGTGCTATTTTTAATTTCCCTGTAATTTCTCAGTTTTCTATATCTCAGGAATGCTGACAAAAAGGTACCTGTGTGGAATAAAAAGCAGAATTTCCCTACGTTCAGGCTCTGCTCCTTCTTCAACGTTGGTTTGAGAAGAGGAGGATCAGTTATGCTCTCAGAGGCTGACATTTCTTGGCGAGCGTGTTTCCAGAAGCATGGTGTGAGGTGGCTGCTACATGAACCCCAAGTTCCCTTCCTCCCCTGAGATTTCTTCTGTTGTGTCTCACATGCCAGTAGCACACACAGATGCATGAAAACATTCAGAAGTGTCTGACAATGGAAAAGACACAGCTCCGGAGTAAAAAGGAGCTGAGTTTGAATATCCCAACTGCCACCTACTAGTTGTAGGACGCTGACTAAGAGACTTAGGAACTTTAAGCCTGTTTTACCATCTGTCAAATAGTTTGCAGGACTGTCATAAGAATTAAATAGCAAATGTAAAGTATTAGCTCATAATAAGTGCTTGAAAAATGGAAGTGTTTATAGTTATGAAACTCCAACTCAATCTGTTAGCATCAATCATCACTGAATAGGTATCAAGGTTTTTAACTGAGTGAAAAAACAAGCTCTGTTTAATTAGGTTTTGCTCTCACACAGTGGCATGGCTAGAAGCAAATAGCTCCCAAGTCAGACCCTCCGTAAAGAGCTGTTGTCTGAGGCCAAGATTGCAACATATGAACAGACAGTAGCAAAACACAGCATATTAAAAGTTAATATTCAAATGTATATTTATAATTCTACTGTAAAATAAGATTCCTTTCAGGGAGAGAGGTAACAATTTATTAACTAGACTGAGATGACTTTTTGAAAAATCATCATTGCCTCTTAAAGGATTAGCTGCTTGGCTTTTTCCATTTTCACCTGACTTGTTCTCTGTATGTGATCAGATGACAAGCTAGCCGGAGCTAGTTTTCTAAGAGCTAGTAGAACTCCACACATAAGCATGGAAAAGTTAATTAATCATAATAGTTGTTCAGAACATTGTGTATAGACCAAATGAAAGGACTTATTTTCTTAGTCCAATGCCAAGACCTATGTGTTTATAGTTAACTTGGTGGCTGGCACACTTGTATATTTCCAATACAAATACTCTCTGAACTCCTTTAACTTGCCCAAGAAATACAGAAATTCCAAGACAAAGAAATGAACTAGTATTGTGTTTAAATGCACAGCTATCCCAGCTGATAAATGGATATAAGACCAATACATTTTCAGGTGAAAAAACAAGTTTAAAACTATTACTAATGAATCTTGAACACGTATCCAAAATTATACTTCCATATGTTTTGTTTAATCAATTTTATCTGAAGAAAAGTACAACATTCATGTTATAGAAGAATGAGAAATTTCCTTGGAAGAGAAATTTTATCTATGATCAACCACAGAATATTTCTGGCACATTACTGAGCTTTGCAAAGAGCTATAAATAACTAATTTGACACATGTGGGATTGTCTAACATTTTTAAAATTGAGCTATAGTTGATTTAAAATATTGTGTTAGCTTCAGGTGTACAGCAAAGTGATTCAATTATACATACATATATATATCTATTTTTTTTCAGATTCTTTTTCTTATGGGTTATTACAAAATATTGAGTATAGTTTGCTATACTGCAGGTCCTTGTTGGTTATCTGTTTTACATATAGTAGTGTGTATATGTTACTCCCAAA